AGAAATCTGTCCATCGGTTTATTGACAGTTAAGAGGCGGGACCAGAGCACCGAATCTCAACCCCCACAAGCACAATTAGGTAAGTACAACTGGGTGAGTACAGACATTCTCACACTTTCTCACACTTTCTCACACTCCACACACACACGCGGTCACCTTCTCTCTACCTTTCTCACTCTCTCCCCATCTTTCTTTCTCTCTTTCTCTCCCCATTTTTCTCTTTCTCTTGCCATCTCTCTCTCCCCACCGTTGGCCTTCTACCTAACACTCAACACAGATGGCCCCATAAATTACAGACCCCGGAATCTTTTCCTATGAGCAGATGAACACGACAACGCTCTCAGCTCGAAAAATTTGTCCTAAAATAACAGAAGAGTCATTTGTAAGAGGCGAGGACACGGAGAGGAGCAACGGAGCAGTTAATAACGAGGAGAGGAAATCGATGGCAGGAGGAACGAAGCACACAATCTAGGTAACGGACGGAGCGGTGATGAGACCAATGCCGGGGTTCCAAACGGAGGTTTGTACCAAGGGTTTGGACCAAAGGATCAGTAACAGAGGTTCGAAACACAGATTCACAAGAGAGGTTCAGTCCAGTCACTAATTGCCGTCCTCATCAACCAAACAAGGTCAAATGCTCGTTAATCCGGCTGCTAAACCCCCTTCTGCGTTTATGAATGATGAATAATTTACACACTACTCACAACCTTTCGAACAGTTCTCGAACAGTGCTTCGCTGGCGTCCTCTGTTCGAATCGCACCCGTGTAAAAGCTTCACCCACGTACTACGAATGTAAACAATTGCCAACACAACCTTATAACCCATTCTAATCTAGGCCTAATTATACACAAAATTGTAAAATATAATAAATTATTTTAAATCAGACAAAATACCAATTCTGAATAAATAATGAGTTGAAAAGGTTAATGTGTCATTAATGTCGGCCGTAGACTGGCCGCGCTCGGCCTGAGGACTGTGTAGTGGGAGTGGTGACTGTGTAGGGGGAGTGGTGACTGTGTAGGGAGAGTGGTGACTGTGTAGGGGGGAGTGGTGACTGTGTAGGGGGAGTGGTGACTGTGTAGGGGGGAGTGGTGACTGTGTAGGGGGAGTGGTGACTGTGTAGGGGGAGTGGTGACTGTGTAGGGGGAGTGGTGACTGTGTAGGGAGAGTGGTGACTGTGTAGGGGGAGTGGTGACTGTGTAGGGAGAGTGGTGACTGTGTAGGGGGGAGTGGTGACTGTGTAGGGGGAGTGGTGACTGTGTAGGGGGGAGTGGTGACTGTGTAGGGGGAGTGGTGACTGTGTAGGGGGAGTGGTGACTGTGTAGGGGGGAGTGGTGACTGTGTAGGGGGAGTGGTGACTGTGTAGGGGGGAGTGGTGACTGTGTAGGGGGAGTGGTGACTGTGTAGGGAGAGTGGTGACTGTGTAGGGGGGAGTGGTGACTGTGTAGGGGGAGTGGTGACTGTGTAGGGGGGAGTGGTGACTGTGTAGGGGGAGTGGTGACTGTGTAGGGGGAGTGGTGACTGTGTAGGGAGAGTGGTGACTGTGTAGGGAGAGTGGTGACTGTGTAGGGGGAGTGGTGACTGTGTAGGGAGAGTGGTGACTGTGTAGGGGGGAGTGGTGACTGTGTAGGGAGAGTGGTGACTGTGTAGGGGGAGTGGTGACTGTGTAGGGGGAGTGGTGACTGTGTAGGGGGAGTGGTGACTGTGTAGGGGGGAGTGGTGACTGTGTAGGGGGAGTGGTGACTGTGTAGGGGGGAGTGGTGACTGTGTAGGGGGAGTGGTGACTGTGTAGGGGGGAGTGGTGACTGTGTAGGGGGAGTGGTGACTGTGTAGGGGGGAGGGGTGACTGTATAGGGGGAGGGGTGACTGTATAGTGGGAGTGGTGACTGTATAGGGGGAGTGGTGACTGTATAGGGGGAGGGGTGACTGTATAGGGGGGAGGGGTGACTGTATAGGGGGAGGGGTGACTGTGTAGGGGGAGTGGTGACTGTATAGGGGGAGTGGTGACTGTGTAGGGGGAGTGGTGACTGTGTAGGGAGAGTGGTGACTGTGTAGGGAGAGTGGTGACTGTGTAGGGGGGAGTGGTGACTGTGTAGGGGAGTGGTGACTGTGTAGGGAGAGTAGTGACTGTGTAGGGGGAGTGGTGACTGTGTAGGGAGAGTGGTGACTGTGTAGGGAGAGTGGTGACTGTGTAGGGGGAGTGGTGACTGTGTAGGGGGAGTGGTGACTGTGTAGGGAGAGTGGTGACTGTGTAGGGAGAGTGGTGACTATGTAGGGGGAGTGGTGACTGTGTAGGGGGAGTGGTGACTGTGTAGGGGGAGTGGTGACTGTGTAGGGGGAGTGGTGACTGTGTAGGGGGAGTGGTGACTGTGTAGGGGGAGTGGTGACTGTGTAGGGGGAGTGGTGACTGTGTAGGGGGAGTGGTGACTGTGTAGGGGGAGTGGTGACTGTCTAGGGAGAGTGGTGACTGTGTAGGGGGAGTGGTGACTGTCTTAAGGGAGTGGTGACTGTCTTAATGGAGTGGTGACTGTCTTAAGGGAGTGATGACTGAGAAATTCACTGCAGGAGCTGACATATCTATTATTATCACCATCCCCACTATATCCATCCCCACATTCATCAACATTTCCATTATCATCACACCACCATCAACAACCATCACCATCTACACCGTCTCCATCATCATCACCACCATCACCACCATCGACAATATTCCCCTCTATTCTTCACATGTTTGACACATCTATGCACTGCAGCCCAGTTTTGGTCACCATTATATAGAATTCTTTAGAAAATGCAACAAAGATTGTTGACGATACAATTACTCTCAGCTGCAGACGTCTCCAATGAAACTTGATTAATTTAGCTAAACTACCTCATGACCTCATTAAACTATACTCTTGAACCAAAAGGTATAAAAAGAGACATAGTAATAATAAAATATATTAGCACAAAATAGTACACGAAAGAGTTTAATAAAAAAACTGCCTTAGATTTAGATCTGGGAAAGACCAGGATAAATACGGGTGCAGAAATAGGGTTGCAGATATATGGAAGAGGTCGCAAGGTGGCGTAATTGGACGCTGGGAGGGCGGGGGGAAGGGAGGGTGTTGTTTCAAGCACAGGCTAGACATGTGTGCACCTAGGTTGCTAATGGCAGCTGCCTCACACAGGGATATATGGTTTCTACAGTGTCCGCTGCACGTTTGGACCGTCCAACTTCTGGATGTTGCTGTCATTGTGCGAAACGTGCATTGCCTTATATGACGTGATGATACACATGTCATCACCAGAGACTGACAGGAGGTCTTTGTAGATATTACTGCTCCTGTCATCACCTGAGACAGACAGGGAAAGCTCAGCATACATTAAATGACTCGACAAATCAGATTAAATAGAGCACAAGTCCCAAGTGAAGATACGGATCATTCAGTCACTCGAGGAATGCATAATCAAGATTCACAGAATCAGAGTCTGATTACACTGTCCGAGATAAACAGAAACACTGGCTCGGACACTTTAAGGCACCTAAACAGAACCAGTACCCCCGCCATCCCCTGAAGCAACACGGAGTCAAGCCAGCTGTCATCTAGCACACAAATGAAGACAACAGAAGCAGCTGCAGCACGTAACACCGATCTCTCTCACCCGGTGTGTTACACAGCATATATCATAATATCAGCAGCATATGCCAGGTTGGCTAACATAAGAACGGCCTTTAGAAACTTGTGTAAGGAATCTTTCAGAACATTATATACCACATATGTCAGACCAATCCTGGAGTATGCGGCTCCAGCATGGAGTCCATATCTAGTCAAGCATAAGACTAAACTGGAAAAGGTTCAAAGATTTGCCACCAGACTAGTACCCGAGCTGAGAGGTATGAGCTACGAGGAGAGACTACGGGAATTGAACCTCACTTCGTTGGAAGACAGAAGAGTTAGGGGGGACAGGATCACCACATTCAAGATTCTCAAGGGAATCGACAGGGTTGATAAAGATAGGCTATTTAACACAAGGGGCACACGCACTAGGGGACACAGGTGGAAACTGAGTGCCCAAATGAGCCACAGAGATATTAGAAAGAACTTTTTTAGTGTCAGAGTGGTTGACAAATGGAATGCATTAGGAAGCAATGTGGTGGAGGCTGACTCCATACACAGTTTCAAGTGTAGATATGATTGAGCCCAATAGGCTCAGGAACCTGTACACCTGTTGATTGACGGTTGAGAGGCGGGACCAAAGAGCCAGAGCTCAACCCCCGCAAGCACAACTAGGTGAGTACAGCACCAGCCTCCACCACCACCACCCTGTGGACCATCCTGTGTGACCTGCACCCCTCAGGCTCACTCTGTGGTGGTCAGAAAGGCTGGGTGTTGCAACATGATGAGTGACCATGAGTGTGGGTGTTGCAACATGATGAGTGACCATGAGTGTGGGTGTTGCAACATGATGAGTGACCATGAGTGTGGGTGTTGCCACATGATGAGTGACCATGAGCGTGGGTGTTGCAACATGATGAGTGACCATGAGTGTGGGTGTTGCAACATGATGAGTGACCATGAGTGTGGGTGTTGCAACATGATGAGTGACCATGAGTGTGGGTGTTGCAACATGATGAGTGACCATGAGTGTGGGTGTTGCAACATGATGAGTGACCATGAGTGTGGGTGTTGCACCATGATGAGTGACCATGAGTGTGGGTGTTGCAACATGATGAGTGACCATGAGTGTGGGTGTTGCCACATGACGAGTGACCATGAGTGTGGGTGTTGCAACATGATGAGTGACCATGAGTGTGGGTGTTGCAACATGATGAGTGACCATGAGTGTGGGTGTTGCACCATGATGAGTGACCATGAGTGTGGGTGTTGCAACATGATGAGTGACCATGAGTGTGGGTGTTGCAACATGATGAGTGACCATGAGTGTGGGTGTTGCAACATGATGAGTGACCATGAGTGACAATGTGTAGCAACAAAGGGCCTCGTTGACTCACCCAGTGGACGTAGTTGATAGAGAAGCGGTCGTCGCTGGAGTGAGTGTGGAGCCCCACCGTCAGCAGCTGGTAGTCCCTCTTCCTCACCCACGACACCTGCAACACCACACGCACTCTCGTTAGTGTGCTGTGTGCGTGCGTGCGTGTGTGTGTATGTGTGTGTGTGTGTGTGTGTGTGTGTGTGTGTGTGTGTGTGTGTGTGTGTGTGTGTGTGTGTGTGTGTGTGTGCGTGTGTGTGTGTGTGTGTGTGTGCGTGTGTGTGTGTGTGTGTGTACGTGAGTGCGTGCCTGTGTGTGCGTGCGTGCCTGTACGCGTGCGTGTGTGTGTGTGTGTGTTTAAATATGAATCACAAATAACATAATATCAACTGTTTCTTGATTACACGTTATGTAAATATGTAACTACCAGAAAAACTTAATGTATATTTATATATTTATATATATATATTTTAGTACTTTTTGGGCAGATTTGCATGAACTGTTTTATATGTTTATATTAACTCTCTCTAGTGCCTCCTCACCCCCCATCCCTGCAGACACTCACCAGTTCCTCCAAGACACCCACCAGTCCCCCCAAGACACTCACCAGTCCCCCCAAGACACTCACCAGTCCCCCCAAGACACTCACCAGTCTCCCAAGACACTCACCAGTCCCCCAAGACACTCACCAGTCCCCCCAAGACACTCACCAGTCCCCCAAGACACTCACCAGTCCCCCCAAGACACTCACCAGTCCCCCAAGACACTCACCAGTTCCTCCAAGACACTCACCAGTCCCCCATGACACTCACCAGTCCCCCCAAGACACTCACCAGTCCCCCCAAGACACTCACCAGTCCCCCCAAGACACTCACCAGTCCCCCGGTAGCGCTGGAGGTCTTGCAGTGGAGGATGACAGGAGCGCCGACCTGGCCCGTGACGACGCTGTTGTTCTGGGTAACAAACCGCTCGCCGACCTCCTTGGCCGCGGGCCGGCCCATCTCCAGCTGGTTGTTGGTCGGGCTCCACTGGGCTGTGGGGGGACACATACGTTAGTGTGTTGGTTTGCTCGGCTTTAAGAATCGATAAACAAAGGTTATTAAGTGGTTTGTGCGAGACCAAACAATTTGTTGGACGAACAAGAACTTAAATATTGGTATTAACTGGTGTCTCGGAACTCAGGAGGATATGTAGTTGTTAACTACCCGATGTTATTGAGCGGCAGACACAATCTACGCGCGCACAAGCACACGCACAACCACTCGCACGCACACGCACATACGCCCGCACAGGAATTAGTCCACCAGTTTCAGGACTCAGTATACAAGTTGGTTGACAATTGATACGCGGGACCAAAGAGCCGCAGCTCAACCCCCGCACGCGCGCACGCACACACACGCGCGCGCGCACACACACACACACACACACACACACACCAGACTAGTACCCGAGCTGAGAGGTATGAGCTACGAGGAGAGACTACGGGAATTAAACCTCATTTCGCTGGAAGACAGAAGAGTTAGGGGGGACATGATCACCACATTCAAGATTCTGAAGGGAATTGATAGGGTAGATAAAGACAGGCTATTTAACACAAGGGACACACGCACAAGGGGACACAGGTGGAAACTGAGTACCCAAATGAGCCACGGAGATATTAAAAAGAACTTTTTTAGTGTCAGAGTGGTTGACAAATGGAATGCATTAGGAAGTGATGTGGTGGAGGCTGACTCCATACACAGTTTCAAGTGTAGATATGATAGAGCCCAATAGGCTCAGGAACCTCTACACCTGTTGATTGACGGTTGAGAGGCGGGACCAAAGTGCCAGAGCTCAACCCCCGCAAACACAAGTAGGTGATTACAACTAGGCGAGTACACACACACACACACACACACACACACACACACACACACACGAAGGAACTTTGTGTCAAAACACCAACATGGTTTCAGGGATGGCAAGTCATACCTCACAGGATTAATTGAATCGATCAGGCAACAAGAATCAGAGAAGAAAGAGAGGGGTGGGCAGACTGCATATTTTTGGATTGCCAGAAAGCCTTTGACACAGTGCCACACCAGAGACTAGTGCGAAAGCTGGAGATGCAGGCAGGAGTGAAAGGGAAGGTACTCCATAGGATAAGGGAGTACCTAAGTAACAGTATGCAGCGAGTCACTGTGCGAGGTGAGGTCTCAGATTGGCGAGACGTCACCAGTGGGGTCCCGCAGGGTTCAGTCCTTGGACTCATACTGTTTCTTATGTATGTTATGTATGTAAATGATCTTCCAGATGGTATAGAATCATTCCTCTCATTGTTTGCTGATGATGCAAAAATTATGAGGAGGATTAAGACGGAGGAAGACAGTATGAGACTAAAAAAATGACCTAGAAAGACTGCATGAATGGTCCAACAAATGGCTACTAAAGTTCAACCCGAGTAAATGTAAGGTAATGAAACTAGGCAGTGGAAACTGGAGGCCAGACACAGGATACAGAATGGGAGATGAAGTCCTTCACGAAACGGACAGAGAGAAGGATCTAGGATTTGATATCACACCAAACCTGTATCCTGAAGCCCACATCAAAAGAATAACATTTGCGGCGTATGTGAGGCTGGCTAACATCAGAACTGCGTTCAGGAACCTGTGTAAGGAATCATTCAGAATCTTGTATACCACATATGTAAGACCAATTCTGGAGTATGCGGCCCCAGCATGGAGCCCGTACCTTGTCAAGCACAAGGCGAAGCTTGAAAAAGTTCAGAGATATGCCACTAGGCTAGTCCCAGAACTAAGAGGCATTAGTTACGAAGAAAGGCTGCGTGAAATGCACCTCACGACACTAGAAGACAGAAGAGTTAGGGGAGACATGATTACTACCTGCAAAGTTCTCAGAGGAATTGACAAGGTAGATAAAGATAAACTGTTTAACACTGGTGGAACGCGAACAAGGGGACACAGGTGGAAACTGAGTACCCAAACAAGCCACAGGGACGTTAGAAAGAACTTTTCCAGTGTCAGAGTAGTTAACAGGTGGAAAGTATTAGGCAGTGATGTGGTGGAGGCTGACTCCATACACAGTTTCAAATGTAGATATGATAGAGCCCAGTAGGCTCAGGAACCTATACACCTGTTGATTGACAGTTGAGAGGCGGGACCAAAGAGCCAAAGCTCAACCCCCGCAAGCACAACTAGGGAAGTACACACTCTCTCAACTTACAACTAATGGCTCCATTAGCTAATAAAGGCCAGGAAAGCATACTCAATACAAAAGCTCACCATATTAAAAAAACACGACTTTTGTTCCCTAACATACTTGCATATTCTGCTCATACCCATTTACATTTACTGATGGCATTAACATTCACTTACATTCATTAGCATTCACTTGCTTTCATTTTCATTGCAACATAGAGCAGCAAGCTTCATGCAACACACACCGGGATTATTCATATTTTACAACACTGGATAAAAATGGATCCCACCGCCGCTATCTCGTTTATCTCTACCTCGAAATATTCGCCTCGTGAAGGGATTTAAAGCTGTGTACCATACAGTTATTTGTGTGTGTGAGTTGCTGTGTGTTTTGTGTGTGTATATTCACCTAGTAGTGCTTACGGGGGTCGAGCATTGCTCTTTCGGCCCGCCTCTCAACTATCAATCAACTGTTACTAACTACTAACTAATTTATTGCCCTCCCCCCACACACACACACACCCAAGGAAGCAGCCCGTAACAGCTGTTAAACTCCCAGGTACCTATTTATTGCTAGATAACTGGAGCATCAGGGTGAAGGAAACTCTGCACATTTTGTTTCTTCGTCGGCGCCAAGAATCGAACCCAGGCTACAGGATTACGTGTCCAGCGTGCTGTCCACACAGCCATCGGTGCCCTGTGTGTGTGTGTGAGGGAAGGAGGTAATATAGAGGCCCCGCGTTGAGTAAAAGTTATGGTGGAGGGAGGGGCTTGGTGAATGATTGAGAGAGAGAGAGAGAGAGAGAGAGAGAGAGAGAGAGAGAGAGAGAGAGAGAGAGAGAGAGACCCAACAATCAAGTTGTTGTGACCATCCTCTACACTACTGACAGAGAGTTGAGTATATGTTAAGTTAGCAATAACATCCTCAACAATATTGCAATCTTGCATAAATCATTATTAATTATATATAAAATGTTGCCAATAATGAGCTTCTATAATTGCATGCGTGCTTACAAGCTCTACACTAACGGTATACAGGGTAATTATTGCCCCAAACTCCTCTGTATTATTACCGGTATTGAATCCCATTTAATTGTTCAAGTATTATTATGATATATTGTTCCATTAGGTCATTGAAATAAAATAATCCCCATGATATTTACAGTCGTGTTATAATGGACGTCAATTCATTATTTATCACCAACATCGTCACCAAACAGTGGATTCACATCCATTTGTATAGCCCTTGCCCTAATGGTGTGGTTAATGGTAGTGAGGTCTCACCACCACACAACCAGCCATTTGTAACCAAAAAAGTTACGCAAATCTACACGTATTATTCTCTTTATTTATATTTATATTCCTTTTTGCATGTTATTCCCCGTAATACTTTGTTTAGTTATACTATTGGTGAAGTTAAGTTATAATAGCCCAAGTTAGTTAAAGATAGAACAAACCCGGCCACTGCTGGATATACCCTGAATTTTATATATATATATATATATATATATATATATATATATATATATATATATATATATATATATATATATATATATATATATATATATATATATATATATATATATATATATATATATATATATATATATATATATATATATATATATATATGTACTATAAGAATGTGTCTGTCTGTCTGACTGTCTTTGTTCAAAGGTGGAGGTCTGTTGGGCATTACGGGCGTTAGTTCGAAAAGGATGATTCACATCGATAATGTTGATTCAACCCGCGGAAACGTTCACTTAACGTCAAAAATGTTAATTCACAAAGTTTATTCAACACTCATCATAATATTGACTCATTCCTCGCTCATGTTGGGTCCCCTGACGAGGAGAGGAACAGTAACAGCAGAGAGAGAAGATAGGAGGAGTGAGAGAATGGGAGGGAGAACGGGAGAGAGGGAGAGTGGGAGAGTCGGGAAGATAGAAAAAGATAGTCAGAGAAGGGGGTAGAACCACCAGATATCCCCCTTCTTCCCCTTTCTAATCAATAGCAACATGAGAGAATGTTTCTAATTGTCTGTCTGTGTTTGTTGGAGGATGGAGGTCAAATGCTTTAGGTCAGCCTCTTTACCACCTGTAGGATTAATGGTGATTTTATCAGGACTGACATATGGGGTCAGAGTCGGCCCTGTGCCCCCCTGAAGGGTGGGGACGACTCCTATGCCCCTTCTTGATCAAGTCTGTGAATATCAAATGTTCAGCCCCAAGTCCATAGAGTTTAGCAATTGTATTAAAGTTCGCAGATTCGCATTATTAGGGTAACCTTTTGGGTATAATGATGGATACAGAGAAGAGGGAAAATTATTATAATGATTGGAGGAGACACGGGTAGTGAGTGAGGGGGGGGGGGTGTTGAGACTGTGAGTAGGTGTGACCTGGATACCGGGCGACCCGGGCGCCGCCGGATACCACTTGAAGTATACATGTATTACATAAATGTTGTTCTCTATACGTTCATTGGTATGCATTTGTATGTATGTATATATATATATATATATATATATATATATATATATATATATATATATATATATATATATATATATATATATATATATATATATATATATATATATATATATATATATATATATATATATATATATATATATATATATATATATATATATATATATATATTTTAGGACAATTTTAAAAGCCGGGAAGATTCAGGCAAGTTTTAAAGTGACCAGAAGAGTAAACAAAATATTCGTTTACCTAACGTTGGTGAAGCTGCTGAGGCTTCTCTGGCACTCTTCAACAACTTTGACTTCCGGCACGACTAATACAGCGCCACCACAGTTTTACTC